ATGCAAGTATTTATCTGTGATAATATATAATCCGAATATAATTGTATCTTTCTTTACGCTTCTGTAAATATCTCCAGGGAAAATGGTTTTGAAACACTTATAAAAGCAACAGTCGAGTTATTCTCTTGACGACTCGGTTTGTCTCTTGCAAGGACTGATGTGAAACAGTGGACTGACTGTGTGGGAAAATGGCATATACTTTGAAAAAGGCGGGCTTTTTCCCTATTTTCTTTTCATTTTCTTTTCTGATTATATTTTATTTAATGTTGTCAATAGAAAATTGAAAAAGGTGGCACTGTTTAGACATGCAAAATGTATGAGATAAATTAATTTTAAAAAGTTCGTTTTGACCGGTCGATTTGAATGACAAGCTAACGGTTGAATCTAAAAGAGAACAAAAGACGTAGAAATGAATAAAACAATTCACACACACATACACACACACACACACACACACACACACATATATATATATATGTGTGTGTGTGTGTGTGTGTGTGTAATATTTAAAATGTTATTTAACTTTTGGAATAAAACCATTCTTATCTTATATAATATTCTATATTACAGAGAATTTTCAACAATCTGTTCACATATGAAATAGAAGATTGAAGTGTGTCCTTAGTGAGACGATAAACTACAACCTACAGCAAGGCCTCTGTTCAGGAGTTTTGAGGAGCGTGGAACCACCTCTTAATTGCTGGTGTTCCCAGGTCCACCCTGACTCGGAGTGGTAGCACTTGTTAGGGTCCTAGCTATGGGCAAATAGTTAACCCCATCCGCGTCCTGGGTAAGACGATAAATTAAATCCGATGTCCTGGGTAAGACGATAAACTACATCCGCATCCTGGGTAAGACGATAAACTACGTCCGACAGCAAGGCCTCTGATCAGGAGGTTCGGAGGAGCGTGGAACCACCTCTTAATTGCTGAATATTTTTCATGGAGATTTTTGTAAAAGATACAAAATAAAAAATATGTATACCAATAATTTTATGAACTATTTTTAAGTAATTAAATTAAGTAAAGATAGGTAATGTAGTAAAAACAGAACCAGTGAATAAACTTATACCAAAGATTTATTGCACTTTACTCTGGCTACTCGTTTACTGACTGATGTTACAGGGTGCTTTTTATACCTCCTAGATCTTAAGGGGAGGTAACTGATGATTTATCAGTACAGATAAATTTATTTACTATTCTAAAAATAAATTTTAATTTTAGTTCTTGTCTTAATTTTGCCTTCTCAGTAAGAATATTGGCATCGTTAAACTTTCGATTTCTCAACAACTGTCTTTTAGCTTTCTAAGTAAAGGTGGGGACAATTTTTAGTAAACTTTTCTACCCTATCTAGGGCTTATTTTGACACCGCATTTAATGCAGAGAGAAAAAATTCCGCCTCCTCTTTATTACCGCCCTTGTATTTGACATCTAAGAGAACTCGACAATTCATAATTCTGTATATCTGATGTCAAGTGTTTCGAAGAATGAAATTGTTCAGAAGAACTACATTCCTTACAGAAATCTAAAAGTGTCCTGGGTAAGACGATAAACTACATCCGCGACTTGAGTATGACGATAAACTACAACCTACAGCAAGGCCTCTGATCGGGAAGTTTTCAGGAGCGTGGAACAAATGAACATGAAAATTTGAATATTATTTTATTTAAAAATAATGGTCTACTGAATCAGCGGAATGAACTAGCTGTAATATGCAGGCATTGCACAATGTTTACATATACTTAATAGAATTTTTCATTAAAAATCTATAAATTACAATTACGTAGTATCGATTAATATAATTATATAATGGTACATATAATATTTATTCAATTCCTCGATTTTTAATTTTAATATTGCCATATCCTATGGCCCATTGAATATAATAAGTATTGCAATATGGAACTAAAATATATATATATATATATATATATATATATATATATATATATATATATATATATATATATTTTAATCAATGGCCCCTTTAAGATAGTTCTAAAGTATATACAAAAATATGTTTTGAAAAGAAATAAAATCCTAAAATTAACCTATTGTTGAATATAATCTCTTTGATCATTTCATTGTATCTTAAAATTATGTTTTTAACCGGAAGTAATGGTAGCACGTCTAAAAATGAGAGCTCACCTAGACAAGTATGAATAACACACACACACACACACCTAAATTTCTAACCTACATTTTTTCCCTTTTCTGCTTTAGCGTTGACTTGTCTTTTGATTGGTCAAACAGGACATACCCATAATATGTTGAAATCTTGCTTCCCTATTCCTTCTTAAATTTCAATAAAATATCATTCTGTTTTCAAAAGCACATCATTTTCATCAAAAGTTACCCAACATCGCTTGATAATGGAACAAAGTTCCGAGGCATAGAAATTTCTGTGTCACGATGTAAAATATTTTTTGAATATATATATATATATATATATATATATATATATATATATATATATATATATATATATAATGAAATGGATAAATAATTATTCTGAGAAATTTAACAATATGCCGACATGGAAAGTAAATACTTTTGTAAAAGAAAAGTTAGCAATAACCAGAAGGAGGCTTACACAGGAGCGTCCCATTTTAATATTTTGAATTTAATGTAACTACAAAACATTTTGATTTTAAACTATATATATATATATATATATATATATATATATATATATATATATATATATATATATATATATATATATATATATATGTATGTATATATATGTATTTATGAGCTTGCGTAAAAATTTCACAGTATATCTGTAAAAATACAAATTGAATAAAGGCAAAAGCAAAATTTATATTAGCCGATGTGTTTCGTCCTCTCAGGAACTTTATCGAGCCATACGTAAGGATTTTATTTTGTGACAAGTATTTATATATAAGATCCCACTTTGAACCCACAAGACTAGACGTTTTTAGAACTTAGCCTCAATAGCCAATATAGAATCCAACTTATCCATTAGGCCTAACTGGACAAATTTAAAAGAACCCTTAAGGATAGTCCTTATCTTGTTTACATAATAATGGGCATTGGTCTGAATTTCTACAATTACATTGGCCAGTATCATTAATAATATTTTCTTTAGAACGTTTATCATGATCCAGATTATTAAATTGGTTTAATATTCATGGGGAGGCCCGGTGGATTAATGGATAGCGGCTAGGATTGAGAAATTCCAGGCGAATCCATTGCATTCACTTACGTGCTAATACCCTTGGGAAATGGGTAAATAGCAAGACAGACCGTGTTCTATAGACTTGAATGACAACTGGTCTACCGCAGAAAGAAATAGCAATCTACTGCGGGAAAAAATATGCCTCGTCTGTGATGTATCAAAAGATACATGATCGTCTAAGCGTGTATCACACATGGCACATAACTAACTGACTGAAAATTTTATTATTGTCTAACTTGAGATTATAATGTTTCATTTTTGCCTCTTCGCTTAGTTTAAATTTAAAGTAGGTCATATTTGATTGTTTGATCAGAGTAATGCCCACAAACTTTATATCCATTTTTTCTGTTTTCGTAAAAAGATGCTGTATTTTGCTTTTAAATCTAAATAAATCGTCCACTTGCCAGTAATTTACAATCGCTTGATGAGATGCGTTGATACGCATCGAAACAAGACTGCAATTGTGTAACGATTTTGATATGTTTTCGATGAAATATTCTAACATTAAAAATATTGCTCTACTTTGTATTGAGCTCTCTTTTTAAATTAAATGTTACGAACGTTTGAATTGTACTCTATTCGTTCTCATCTTATCTGGAGATTATATATATATATATATATATATATATATATATATATATATATATATATATATATAGTGGCTCCTACAGCTATTAACGCATCTTCAACTGAATTGAGCTCTCCGGCCACTGGCGTATTTCGTATAGAAAATGTTAAAATTTCCCTTTCCCTCTGCTGTGCAACGATAGCCTAGGGGTAGGATCTCTGACCGATGAAGCAATCGAACGTCTGGCCACACTGAAAAGCTGTGATACAGCGAAACACTCTGTCTGTTGAAGACAATTTATATATACGTATGTTTGTTCCCATAAACAGGCAATTATCTATTTTAATTTTCCGACAGACTTTTTACTTCCTACAAAAACACACTAAGTGTATATCAATACTATTTTGTGTGTATGTTCTTCAAAATATCCGATAATTTAACAATATTAGCGACAATATAAAAAAAAGTTCGCATACATTTTATTTTTCAGAGCCAACAAAAATACGACCTTTCACTTTAAGAAAATCCAATTAATTGATTCTAGCCAATATGATATCTTTCTTTTTTTTTACGTCAACTTTACCAATATCATCTGTATTTTCAATAAAATCTTCATGAATCGAACCGTCCTGGGTAAGACGATAAACTACATCCGCGTCCTGGGTAAGACGATAAACTACATCCGCGTCCTGGGTATAAGAACAAAATACATCCGCGTCCTGGGTATGGCGATAAACTACATCCAACAGCAAGGCCTTGAGAAGCGTGGAACCACCTCTTAATTGCGTAGATCCACCTCTTAATTGCTGATTTTCCCAGGTCCACCCTGACCCGGGGTGGTAGCACCTGCTAGGTTTCCAGCCATGGGCAAATAGTAAACACCGAAACTGGGGTAAAAACACTATGAAAGTGTAAAAATCGGTTTTAATACCAGAAATACTTTGTAAAAAATTATTATCAGCAAAACATTTTTGAAGGAAAAACTATTACCAGCAATACATTTTTGTAAAAAAATATTACCAGCCATACATTTTTGAGGAAAAAAAATATTGCCAGCAATGCTTTTTTGGAAAAAAAATTATTACCAGCAATATATTTTTGAATGAAAAATATTTCCAGAAATAGATTTTTGACAAAATAAAATATTACCAGCAATAAAAATTTTGTCGGCATTAAATAACCCATTGATGTTGATATGCCGTAAAACAAAACACAACAAACCACTATATACTGAGATAGACAGATAGATAGATAGATAGATAGATAGATAGATAGATAGATGTGAAGAAACTAGGATAGATAGATAGATAGATAGATAGATAGATAGATAAAAATTATTATCAGTAATAAAAATTTTGTCGGTATTAAATAACCCATTGATGTTGATATGCCGTAAAACAAAACCAATATAAACTCAGATTGATAGACAGATGAAAATAATAGATAGATAGATAGATAGATAGATAGATAGATAGATAGATAGATAGATAGAAAAGATTATCAGCAATAAAAATTTTGTCGGCATTAAATAATCCATTGATGTTGATATGCCGTAAAACAAAACACAACAAAACACTATATACTGAGATAGATAGATAGATAGATAGATAGATAGATAGATAGATAGATAGATAGATGTGAAGAAACTAGGATAGATAGATAGATAGATAGATATATAGATAGATAGATAGATAGATAGATAGATAAAAATTATTATCAGTAATAAAAATTTTGTCGGTATTAAATAACCCATTGATGTTGATATGCCGTAAAACAAAACCAATATAAACTCAGATTGATAGACAGATGAAAATAATAGATAGATAGATAGATTATCAGCAATAAAAATTTTGTCGGCATTAAATAATCCATGCCGTTGATATGAGCTTGATATGCCGCAAGCCAAACCAAACCAAATCATGAATCGAAACCAAACCTTAAGTGATAATTTTAACAGACTTGGTAAGAAATATACTCAGATCTGCAAAAATGTGTTCAAAATGAAAACCTCTAAGTAGCTACAGAAGCTAGTTTATCTTAGCCCAAGTTTTGACAAATGTCAGAAAGGATATGGACACTGAAGAATATCAATGATGAAATCAAAGAAGATGGGTTTTTATAAATAATAAAAAATATTGTTTAAATACTGATTTTGTTTGAATACAAAAAAAACATCAGAAAGACGAAATTAAGAGTGACGAAATTAAATCAGTCTTGGAGGATCATGTATGTAGAGAAAAAGTGTAGACAGCAAATACTGTGGAATGAAGTAAACAATACCAGACGAGACACTGCAAGGCTTCAGCAGCGGTAAAAACTGCAGTAGGAAAATATAAGTATTTGTGAATGCAACCAAGCTTTAGAAGCAGCAATAACTGCAATGACATCAGCAGGCAAAATTGATTTATGGCTCAGGCACAGAATTGTCATAAAATATCTACGCGTGGAAGATTCTGGAAAAGTCTTACGTTAAATATTTGGTGTACTAACCATGTCTTATCGATTAAGACATCTATCTATCTATCTATCTATCTATCTATCTATCTATCTCAGTCTGTTCATTATCTATCTATCTCTCAGTATTTTCATTATCTATCTATCTCAGTTTTTCATTGACTATCTATCTATCTATCTATCTATCTATCTATCTATCTATCTATCTATCTATCCCAGTATTTCATTATCTATCTATCTCAGTGTTTTCATTATCTATCTATCTATCTATCTCAGTCTGTTCATTATCTATTTATCTATCTATCAGTCTGTTCACTAGCTATCTATCTCAGTATTTTCATTATCTATCTATCTATCTATCTATATATATATATATATATATATATATATATATATATATATCAGTCTGTTCATTATCTATCTGTTGTTGTAAACTAGGAAAGGTTACTGAATGAGGAATAATCAAAACGGAGGTTGTAAATGAAATGGTAATCTTTATAACATCAACAAAATACAATACTCGCCAGCGGCGTGAAGTAGGTAAACCACTGCTCGTGGTGGACTACCTAGATAGCATATTACCCCCCACTTACAATAGTGTTCAACGTATTTATGAGGATTAGGACATACCCATTAGTGTTTATACGTACACTATATAATATCTATCTATCTATCTATCTATCTATCTATCTATCTATCCCTGTCTTGTCATATCTATCTATCCCATTCTCTTCATATCTATCTATCTATCTATCTATCTGTCTGCCTATCTATCTCATTCATCCAATGTATATCACTCAGTACATGTCTATCTCTTCTTGGTTATTCACACCTTTCTTTCTTCTCTCTCTCTCTCTCTCTCTCTCTCTCTCTCTCTCTCTCTTTCTTTCTCTCTCCCCCATATATATTTTAAGGGATTAAGAGGCTTTATTTTTTATTTCTGTCATATTTCGCTTACTTCAAACGTCAATTTAGTGGATACCCTTATGTGAGTAGACATTTCCTTTTGTTGTTTTATTTTCTCTAACAGCCTACGCAAGCGAGAAAACTCCTTTCAGGGGGTACAGTTCCTTGGTTAAGTTTTCTTGAGTGAGCAGGCTGGTAAACGAAATAAACACTGTTATTAAAAAATCTGAGCTTTCGTTCTTGTGTCAGCCATACATTTAAACTAAAAAAAAATAGGTTATTCGCTATTTCCATCCATTTTATTGACATCAGAATACACTTTGTGTGTTACATTCTCCAAGTGTTTTCCTCATTATGAGCTCCCATAATTTCAGTTGTTTGTTTCTCTCCCTTAGCAGTAATTTGTTTCGTAGTTTCTAACCTTAAAACTTCCCATTTAGTCGCATGTACTGTCCTCGTTAGTCTTAAAAAGCGAAAAGTGATGCGGTTCTTACTACATCACTTATTGTTATTGCAATTGTAATTGCCGTTCATGTTGTTTTTGTTGCTGCAATTGTTGTTCTTGTTGTAGTTTTTGTTGCTTCAACTGTTGTTCTTGTTGCTTTTGAAGCGCTCCCATTTGAATCATGATAGCTTTTAGTTCTTCCATTTTGCTGTACTCCGCTGAATATTTTCTAGATTATTTTTTCAATAACTTCGTCCGGTTATTTTTCTGTCGTCCTGCAAATATGTCTCTTCGGTGAAGTGGTAAATATTTACTAAATATCCTATTACGGTGTGTAGGAACCATTACTTCTGTTTTATCTTGAAGCGAATTTCTGTAAATTTACACTGAGCACTGCTTTGTAAAAATAAAAATATCAATAAGAACACCGGATTATATATGTTATTGTTCTTTCTTTTTACTATCATCATATATATATATATATATATATATATGGGTGCGTGGGTGAGTGGTTAGAGACTCCTGTTCGAATATCGAATATATATATATATATATATATATATATATATATATATATATATATATATATATATATATAATAAAAGTGAACATTTGAAGTCAACACTTAGAGGTGACAGACTTTTTATGCTAGACGCAATCCTCAGGCCTGACGATTTCGTCTAGCATGAAACAGACTGTCGCCTCTAAGTGTTGACTTCAATGTTCACTTTTATATTTACACACGCTCTATCTCTGATATTGAGTACTTTTATCCCATAAATATATATACCTTATATATATATATATATATATATATATATATATATATATATATATATATATATATATATATACAACAACTGACGTTATCGTTCTGGAGGAAAGTACTTGAAAACCATACCCAAGCCTTTTGAGTGAAATTGGGTAGACGGAACACTTTGGGATTCGTCGATAGCTGTGTTAACACGAAGTCACAAGTCATTGTGACCGAGTTTTTGAGTGTGCTGGCGTTGTTTATCATACTAGATAATACGCTCTCCCCCAGAAACTGTAAAGTTACAGTATAAACTGAGGGTTTTGAACAAACACAAGTGAGCGAGCGTCTGCAATAGGGACTGGCTAGCTGCCCTAGTGGACGGGATCCTCGAGTACCAGTGGCCAGCTATTATTATAAATATGTGTGTGCGTGTGTGATAGATAGATAGATAATGAAATGAGATAGATAGATAGATAGATAGATAGATGTATGATAGATGTAATTTCACCTTTCTAAGTATAAGGCTAGGTTCCAAATGCATTATAGATTAAGGCTATATATTAGGTTGGTGCAAAAATAATAACGTAATAATGTCGTTTTTGACGTTAAAAATACGTCAAAAAACGACATTATTACGTCATTATTTTTGCACCAACCTAATATATAGCCTTAACCTATAATTACGTTAACCTTGTCAGAAATTACTTTAATAATATATTTTAATAAGCCCGGGCGGAAAATCCCTGTAGGCCCCGTAATAACGAGGTCGGATTTGTCTAGCTCCCCAGAAGATAATCTCTCCTTCGGCCTTATCTCGTCCGGCTTCCTCTCTAACCGAATGTAGAGAATTCGACAAGCACTAAGAGGTTAGCCCGCAGCTAAGACCTAATGCTAACTCGGTAATTACCTGAGCTCCCCAGAGAGCGAGATGCGGCACAAGGCCGGTTTTAACGTGGGTTTTTCCGAGCCCGTGGCCCCGGGCAAAAATTCCCTGTAGACTCCGTACTAAGATGGTTGGGTTTCTCTACTTCGGCATGGCCTCATCTGAGTGCCTCTCTGCCCGAAGGCAGAGACGTCGACAAGAACTAAAAGCTTAGCGCGCGGCTAAGACCTAGTATTTACCCAAGTTCTCCTACAAGGTGGGATGTGGCAGAAAGTCGGGGTTTTTTTGGGGTCGGGGGTTAACGTGGGGCGTTCCGAGCTCGTAGACTAGGACAAAAATTCTCCATAGATGCCGTATAAACGAGGCCGAGTTTGTCCAACTCCCCAGACGGGTCTTTGCCCGTCGGCATTGCCACTTCTGGGTTCCTCTCTGCCTTAGCGCGCGGTTAAGACCCAATGCTACCTCTGCTCAACGCCGCTTATTTACATAACCGAACGTTTCCATTCATTTATATCCTATATGACAGCTTATTAAATATTTATCTGTACTTTTCTTTTATAAATATCAAACGTAAAACTAATGATGTCCTTTTTCTAAACTTGTAATAGATCAACCTTATCTTTTTTTTTTATTTTAACAAATGGGTAGAAAAAAGTCTATTGAATCTTCTTCTCTTAGCCGTATCTCTTTATTACATGGGCGATTGTTGTTCTGCTCGACTTTCTGTCCTTTGTTGCTCTAAGTATTTTTTTTTTTTTTGTTATATCTACTAATCCCCGTTCAGACAAATATTTACACAAGTTAGATAGTTTAAACGTTGCTTTTCTTTGTCCCTGTTGTCTTCAGTATCTCTTGTGAATGTCAAATGTTTAAAGCCCTCTTTCCACTACCTTAGATATTTCACCTGTCTTTCTGAGTCTACGTATACGACTCATTTTTGTTTCCATGTGCGCAGTTGATAATAAATATACTTTATAGAAAGTATTCACTAAAAAAACCATAGGTCCCAATATACGGACGAGTATGTAAATAGCACCCTAATGGCTTTGTTTTGTGACTAGTTTGAAAAGTAATTTCGTATAGTGTGGATTGCTTCGTTTTCGCGTAGATGGTTTCAAATATCTGAAGGATTTTTTTACTGTGTGTATGTGTGAGTATTATTATCAATTGTATTATTGTGTTACATTTCAAACTAGTAACAACACATTAAATTGCATCTAGGCATTGGATCTATTTTAATACTTCGGTCTATCACGTGGTATAATGTCATATAACCGCATCTTGAATTTACGATCTGCGTTTGCTATT